ATCCTAGAAGATCTATGTAGCAAGTCTCATTGAAATATGGTACTTAAATTAACTATTAATATGCACAAATATTTACCCCAAACTAATCAGGGGTCTGCACAGTCCTTAAGTAACTATGTACCAAGTGTCATTGAAATGTGATGATTACTACTTGAAATATCAAAATCTGAAAATTAATTAATTATGCAAATTAGGTAATTAATATGTCCTGATATTACCCTAAAAACTATCAGGTCTGTGCAGTGTCCTATGACATCTATGTACCAAGTGTCATTGAAATGTAATGATTACTACTTGAAATATCAAAAGCTGAAAATTAATTATGCAAATTAGGTAATTATTATGTACTGATATTACCCTAAAAACTATCAGGTCTGTGCAATGTTCTATGACATCTATGTACCAAGTGTCATTGAAATGTGATGATTACTACTTGAAATATCAAAAGCTGAAAATTAATTAATTATGCAAATTAAGTAATTAATATCTACTGATATTACCCAAAAAACTATCAGGTTTGTGCAGTGTCCTACGACATCTATGTACCAAGTTTTATTGAAATGTGGTGATTAGTACTTGAGATATCAATGGAAAAGCCGAAAATTGATTAATCATTATGCAAATTAGGTAATCAATATTGCACAGATTTTTACCCAAAACTAATCAAATCTGCGCATTTAGCCCAGAGCATCTATGCACCAAGTTTCATTAAAAATCAATGTATGGTTCTTGAGATATCAGTGGAACAGACACACAGACACACACACACACAGATAGACACACTAACTGCAAAGACTCCCTTTTTGTGCTTCGCACACAGGAGTCAATAAAATTAGGGATTGGTCAGTTACTTCGGCCCAGGGGGAGTCGGCAGATTGCATTTTGCCAGCTGTAAATTTTAGTTGACCCACCCCCTATCAAATAAAAAAAAAAGTGGTTGCCCCCCCCCCCCCAACATTATATTTTAAAACAGGCTGCCCCCCCAAAAGAAACATTAACAGTTTTGGCTCTGACATGATTACAAAATGTATTATATGTGCATTGAAAATATCATGGTTTACCATAATTTTTAGCGTTTGCACCTTAGGAGGGAGGGGAAGCATAAAGCCAAAAAATGACTACAGAAAAGGCTGCAGGAAGGAGGGAAATCTATGCTCCTAAAGATAGTAAGTAAAAGCAAAGCTGTGGAGTACTCACTCGATAAACGCCCTTATAAGATAGGAAAAGAGAATTTGAATCTAGGCGGTTTGAACTCTTTGAAAACTAAGTTGGATTTAAAATATCTTTCATATCTTATAGACCAGGAAAGCTTTACACCCGAAGCACAGTCTGTGCTTATGAAAACAAAGGAAACTTTGATTTTTGCTTAAATTCGTGTTTGATTTTGGTATTTTACAGAGCAAAATATGCATATTTAAAAGTTAAAAAAAAAAAAAAAAAAAAAAAAATTTATTTATTTTTTCATCATTTATTTTAATTTATATATCAGCATTTTCACAAATTTAACTTTTTTGATTTGTTGAACAAAAACTGTCACTCCTCTTTGTACTAATTGCTGTGTTGTATTTCAGTCTCCTGTTATAATTGGATAAATCCAGTAAATATCTTATACAATGGTGACTTCAGACTTTAAATAAAATAATCTGATATCAGCAGCACATGGACTTGGGATGTGTTTAAAACTTAACTGTATAATTTGGGTTCTAGCCGCATTGCATAATCTGTTAACCTCAAAATATTTAGCCTATAACATTTTTTACATCAACAAATTTATAGGCAATATAGGTAATAGTTATTATTAAGAACACATTTGTACGATTAACTTTTTTATCCTTTGTTCTGAAATATATATTTTTTTTTTAATATGTGCATGAGAGCGTGTGTGAATTTTGGAAAACATGGTGACCTCCCTATTCATGATATCAAAAACAGGGTGACCCCCCATTCACACAATCAAAAACGGGGTGACCCCCCTACTGATCCACCGACCCACCTAGGCCGAAGTAACTGACCAATCCCTTAGATGCGAGATAATTATTTATACATGTGTGTTATGTCTGTGTTTTGAAATCATGCGCAGTAAACTACATGTATCCAAGTGGCTGGCGATGATGCAAGTAGGAATGCAATTATGTAAAGGCAACCAAAATAATTGCCTAGGGGTATTCAGAAATGCTGTACTCACAGTAAACTTACAGCGAACTACCCCGGTACTTTCATTTAGGGGTGGACCGCTGGAAACTCGGGAGGGGGATTGGAAAAATAAAATTTTAGGATCAATAACAGAAAAAATTGCATTCTCAAATCTTGGGGAAAATATTTCAGCCATTGAAAAAAATACAGCAAACTCATCATTGGAAAAATAGCAATAGCTAAGTGAAAGAAATGCACAGTTTATCACTGCCCGAGTTTCAATGATTTCTTAGTTGAAAACAAACATGTATACAAACTATAGGAGTGTCTTATTTTCATCGATTTGTCTTTGAGTGAATGCAAACCACAGGTATATCGTATTTTGACTTATTTCGTATATAATTCATGCAAACCATAGGAATATCGTGTTTTCACAGATTTGTCACAAAATGGACTCAGGCTAAGTAAAATTCTGTAAACATGGACCTTAAAAAGCACCACTTAAATATTATCTGCATTTTACTTCTAAATTCGGTTGTAAATTTACTTATCACGTAACGTGAAAATTGCATGTTTTTGCCTCAAACATTGCATCATAAAATGTCAATAAATATTCAGATGACCGAATCCACGATTCAAAAGTTGACATCCTGTAATAGGTTACCGTAGTATACATGATATAAGACCTGTTTTTTCACCTTACATAACCATTTTTACTTTTCTTTTACCGATATATTGCCCGTGTTCCTCTTACATAACCCCTTTTTACTTTTCTAGTACCGATATATTGCCCGTGTGTTCACCTTACATAACCCTTTTTACTTTTCTAGTACCGATATATTGCCAGTGTGTTTACCTTGCTTAACTCTTTTTACTTTTCTAGTATAATGATGTAAATTTGCATGTGTTTAGCAGCGATCGCTCCAGCGGTCATTGCGACTTCCAATGGTGACCCCTGGATAATCCGCATCTGCTTACAATTTATCACGATAGCGTTCATGGCATGTTATTGAGATTTATCAAAGAACAACTGGCGGTTATAATTGTCGAATACGGAATGTTAGTTGAAATAATACGCCGATAAATATGATAGTTACATCCTGGTATCCGGGGCAATTAATCTAACATTATGGCGTGTTAAATACTTTGCGTGATTGGCAATATGTGTGAAGGCCACACCTTAGAGACTTTTAACTTCTCTGTAATTGGTTAACAGTTTTATTTATTTATTTATTAACACACAACATCCCCCGGAGGGGATGAAAAGGGTTACAAATCAAATATTAGTAAAAGAAAAATAACTACATAAAAAGTAAGGGAACAAAAAAGCATTAAAAAAAAAGAAAGATAAATTGAAAAAGTTAATAAAGTGGTCTCGGCACGAGAGAGTCAGTCGGGGCATGGAAGGTACTGTGTGGCCGAGAAGCAACACGGCTGACACCAAATGTAACACAATAGACCATTTTCCGTTCACTGCGAGAATCACGCGTTATGCGTGAAATCGAACGTAAAAACAGGACAAACAAAGGTCATAGCGTCGTAGTGGCGTAAAATATTGCATGGGATTCGACAAACGCGAAAGTATTTTGGGGGACATTTCCATGCCTAATGATGTGCTGTCCACAATTGATGATGGACAATTTGATTAAGTAGCAAGTTTCATTGAAATACCAATATAAAGAATATCTCCATCTCTTTCTGAGAATTCCAGATAATGTTCAATTACACCACCATTGCTAGGTAGGTTACGCATATACAAAAAGAATTACATCACATCTGTCAGTATAAGGGTGTGAAGAAGATTTTAATTTATACAAAATACATATATTAACTTGCACAGTGACCTCAGCAAGTTGGACAGCGACCTCAGCAAGTTGCTCAGTGACCTCAGCAAATTGCAGTGACCTCAGCAAGTTGCTTAGTGACCTCAGCAAGTTGCACATTGACCTCAGCAAGTTACAGTGACCTCACCAAGCTAACATATTAAAATCACATTACATTCTGTTTACAAAATTCTCCAGCCTATCCCCAGTTTACAATCAGGAAATCCCATATTGAAAACTTTATTGTATTAGTAAACACTTGTCTATATATATATATTTTTTTTCAAAATTGATCAATACCAACCTTCTGTAATTTCAATTGATTTTACAGAATGATTGTAGTATATACCGGTATCATTTAATGTAAAGATTACATTAGTTTGGCTCTAAAGAATTCACCCATACATATTGCTCTGTTGTGTTCTTTTTCAAAACACAGTGAAAATGCTGAAACACAGCTGGTTTGTTTAGAGGGTAATGCTTGACAAGGCATGTACTTTTCTAGGCTATAGTGAGAAAAGTCTGTCACTGCATAACAATCTTGGGAAATGTATGAAACTTCAAGTGTTTTATCAGCTTTGTAAGTCATACTAGCTGTAATATGAAGTATGTCATGTAATACTTTGGGTTTTGAATGAAATGAATGCCATTCTTGAAGGTTAGGATGGGCGTGATAATGTTTGGAATATTCACAAAAACCTTTGATTTTAGCCCAACAGACACGGCATTTGTAATTCTGATCCTCCAGATGATAGCTCTGTGCATGTTTTTCAAGATGCCATACTGTGTAAAACATTAGTCCACATGGTTCACAGATCACAGGCTCTAGCACCTTATTTTTGCATTTGTTATCAATTGCAGCATAACCTTTCAATCCATTTTCCCGTTGTGGGTCTTTCTTCTTGAGAAATTTACGCACAGCATCATCTCTAACATGCACCCTCCTGTGAGTGAACAGACTATGCATGTTTTTGTAACTTTTACCACAGATGCTACAGTTGAACAGTTTTACTGGACGAGGCTCTAATTTAGGTGGATGAAATATTAGCTGATGATGAAGCAGAGCATTTTGAGACTCAACTTTCTTTCCACAGTGATCACATGTGATAATCTGTCCAATCATGTGTATTGTTGTGGAATGTTCTTGAAGAGCATTCTGTGTTCTGAAATTTTTTCCACACTTTTCACACTGTAAACTACCTGTACCATTACTTACAGAGTGGAGTTTTTTATGAGAATTCAGAACATGTCTATGTAAGAATGCAACTCCACACACATCACAGGTATACGTCTTATCACCAATGTGTTCTTGTGAGTGTCTATAGAAAGTCCGTGTATTATGAAATCTCTTCTCACACAGTTTACACTTGTAGTTCATGACTTGTTTGTGTCCAGTCATCTCCCAATGGGTACAAAGCTTATGTTTCAAATAGAAAGTTGAACCACACATGGCACATTCATACAAGGATTTTACACGTTTACGCTTATTATTGTCTTTTATGTTTGTTTGTTGTTGCTTGCAAAGGTCATCTCCAGGGCAGTCGTTAAAACCATCTAGATAGATTTCGAGACTCATGGCTGATTGACTATGTAGGTTACTCTAAAATAAAAACACAACCAGATTTATTATATACAATTATAAGATAAGGACATGTAACTTGTGTTTGAATTCACAAGAATTGCAAAAATAATTTTGTCCCACCATATTTTCACTTCGTGAGTTTTTAGGGCGAATAACCACACTCATAATATAAAGGTCATTCACCAACGTTATTTCAAACATTGTTGATTTGCCACCATCATAGGTGCCTTGGTTTAAGATTTCAGTCAATTGCATCCCCAAGCCTTAGAGGATTTCTTTGCCTCACTGTTACCGAGATGTAATCAGATATGATGACTTGGCATAGAAAGGACAATACGGATTTATACACTCCTTTGGCAAACTCTGGAGTAACTATATTATTTATGTTTATGTTTTTTCGTTTCTTGGAGTAAGTATTGTCAGGGAAGTGTGTGGCAGTTTTGTGTACTATTCGTACACAGTCCAATCCAAGTATGGATATCTCTCATGCAGGAAGTTTCTGCAATCAAATCTTCTCTTTAGTTACTGTCAAGTAACCATAGCATTCTGTGATCTATCAATAATTGAATTGCATATTCTAATAAATGAATGAAATGAAAATGATCTTGTCACATCCACGTAAATCCATCTTTCATTCAGACTCCAACTTTCCAGCTCCCACTTTCTAATCCCATATTTAAGTATACATGTTGCTGTTTTGACCCTTATTTTCAAGCCAATATTTTTGACCCCCCTTCTTTAGCGACCATTTTAGCAAAATTTGAGCTATTTGTTGGCAAAAAAACTATCATCTTAGTCAAAACACCCTCAACGTCAATCGTTTTGGTTCCAGTTTTCAACTGTCTACAGAGCAATCACACCCCCAAATATTTTTTGTAACTCATGTAATGCAGACCCATTTTGTCTCTGTGTTTTAATCTACATATGTAAATAATAAATAAATAGAACCATATAGAAATATATAGAAATATATAGAACTAGTTGTTTTGCATGGGACATTACTACAATAAGGTTAGGACTTACCGTGGTTTATCAAGCCATGGTTTGTAGTTCTTATGTGAATGCACTCGTCATGACTGAGAGATAATTATTCACTGCAAACGATTCTTCGTCACAGATATATGAATGTTAATAAATCCTCAAACTTTAAAACCGCATTGTTTGTCAGTTGCATACGCGAGTTTCAGGAAAGATTGGACGCAGGCATATGTCGCCCTCTAGTGTTACATGTCGTTTTTCACGATACAATTGGCTTACGATTCAGATTTATTTCAGAATTCGGCGAATTCGTCATATATAACACACTCTCGCTTTACTTATGTTATTTGGTAACCTTTGTTTATGAGAAAAGACAGGCACAGACGTGATATCCCTAAAATCATTCACCACGAGTGATCCCCGACCGACTCACGCATTCACGCATGTCTCGGGATTTACAATCACAGTCCCTCGAGGGACGAAGGACTGTGTTACAATAAATAAAAAACTGACTGCAAAACAGTTATCCATATTTCCAGGACATGTGTAAAAACCTGTCTTATTTATATGGTGCATATATTTGGAGAATGGAAAACAAATTACAAATGTGATTAACAAATAGGGATACACTGAACTCTGGGAAGAATGCCTTAAAAAAAAAACAAAGCTTAGAATATATGTAATGTTTAAAGATATTTATACTTGTGGACCATATTTATCCGTGCTTCCCTCACTTTATGTAAATTTAGAACCAGTAACAATAACCATAGACCTTAGTAGTCTATGGAACTTAAACTAGAGCATAAACTGTCCTCATAATAAAACTGAAGATGAATTACATTTTTTCATGGATTGTCATCTCTACAACAATTATCGTGATGAAATGAAGAAAAATATTGAACTCCCCAACGAAATAGATAATAAACAAAAAACATTTATATTTATGATGAGCAATAACAACCAAAATATAATTAAACAAGTTGGAAAGTTATTTACAGATCTTTTGTTTAAAACAGCAAATAAAATATTTATCACCGAGGACAATAGAAATAATTTATCTGTAAAGAGTTCGATAAATGTCTGCATAAATTTAAAGCTGATGTTAAAGTCAATTGAACCCATGGGTGTATCATATATCAATATAGTTACCATGGTAACAGTTATGAAATAGTCTAGATGTTAAGAGAGCCTTAATATTAAAACAAACACGATATACACATTCGATGGTGAGTGAACCATCTTATACTGGTACTGGTAAGATAGTACAACTGACTTCTCTTTATGGTGGCTATACAAAACACTACCTGTAACAATTGCAATCGGTTATTTAGTGGGATACAGATTACAGTCTATGTGATGACGTCACCACAAATGATATCGAGATTCAGTTCTTTTATTTGTATACGCTGAAGAAAGCATTCTGGCATAATAACAAGTTCTTTTCATTAGCTACACGTAACAGACTCCAGCACGACCAGCACTTTTATCTCTTCCACATTTTTTCAATGACTCATTTTATTCACAACATTAACCAATCGTTAACACTTTGGTTCCGATACTAAGAGTTAGCAAATATCAAAGTTTATTTCCTGGCATTCAACAAGTAAGTCAATTTGAAATACCTTCTAAACCCATTGTTTTGAAATTTTCAAACACCCATCACCTCTATTTCTCCTCAAAACATTGTCTGCCTTTTGCTATATATAATAAAAAGAACAATAGGAATTAATGTAAACTTGATATATAATAGTAATTTTTGTACAACATTAGAACATTCAGTTGATGTACCAAATCGATGGTGAATACAAATTAATCGCGAATTAATCTGTGAAAATATGTTTTGAATAAAATATCCTAAAAATTAATTTATTATTTATAATTTTGACTAACTACTGTTTTGTTTATCTGCAATAAGAAAGTCTAGCATACTAATAATGTCATCTTTAGTGTAGACGCATCGCCTTAAGTTCTTAACAATGTAGATAAAATGGTATCCAACTACTATATATTTGAAATTTATGCGTTTGATGTTTACAATGTGTAATGTGTGATGTATAGTGGTATATAGGAAAAATCAAAAGTGTTAAATAAAGTTGTACTTGAAAGTGATCTTGATTTCAGTTTCAAAAATTGTTGACAAACAAATGGCTATCAAAAATCTTAAATTACATTGTGATATAATCAACTTTTCTTGATGTGCTAGAACACAATCGTCATCTAGTTTGGACAGTGTGAATTAGAGACATTGTGCGAAAAAGACAAAAATTTCTGATTTTGTCAAACAAAATGGCTGCTGGTCAGTCATATTGTATAGAATCTCGCCAAAAATCAACTTGCATATTTTTAAAATAATATACTCCTTTTGTACAAAATCAGAGTAACCTTAGTAATTGTATTCTCAAACTATAAAAAAAATGAACAAATACAAGTATTTTTTGACAAAAAAATGGCAACCAGTCAGCCAATTGACCTAATTTAACCTACAATGTATTCGAAAAAAATATGAATGTGTATCAGTATGCCAACAGGCCTAACCCATATTCTATGTTTGAACAGACTCAACCAGTAAAACTTGGAGATAATGATCTACACATATAAAATATAATATATATTGGGTCAAATATGGGCACCAGGTCATTTTGTATCCGAACAGAAAAATAAATCTGGGGCATATGTATACTGTCATGTATCAACCATTTACCAAGTTTGGGGTAAATAAGTCCATGAACTTCTGAGATAATTTGACGAATGGATGATCACACGGACAGAACCCAATGTATAAGCCCTGGAGGCTGTGTCTTGTCAGGGCTAAAAATACATAAAAATTTATGCTGCTCAATAGGGAAACAGGATAAAACATGTTTTCATTTGGAAAGGAATGTTGTGTCATAACTTGTCAAACAGAGGAGTGTCTCAGCCCTATGAACAACCATTCCTATTGTCTGTTTTCAAAGTATATAGCGTACCTCAACCATCTAAAAAAAATACAGCATTGTATTACTCCATTACTTCCATCACTTCAAATAAATTACCATAATTTATTTTACCATGAATATTCTTTTTCACTGAAAACACACAATTTGAGTTGATACATGTAATTTATTTTCACATATTTCTCATAAATTACAGAAAAATATTACTTTCACTGTTCCACAAAAACAATGAAACAGAGTTGCGAGTGAAAGTTATAATAACATGAACAAAATTTTGTTGAGGGAATTGAAATGAAAACACTACATTTTGTACAGTATGACACAGTAAAATAATGCAGACTTGTATAATGTCTAGATTGTAATCGGCGAAAGACAAGCCATATTATTAAAACTTTTTAACTGATTATCAAAGTCTATTTCATTCATTGCACTCTAGCTAACACATTGCCAGCTGAAAACCTCCAGAGGCAATATGTTAATCAGCAAAAGTTTTTTATGCTGAGATCTGTTGTGAATAAATAAATTAATAAATACAGTTTATGACACATAGTATATACCATATTTGCTTTATTAGAAGCACAGGCTCAAAGCTTGTAAATTGGCAGTTGTAAGTTATATTTTAATGATCCAAGATTAAAGATAGAATGAAAGAATTTTCAGTTTATGCTTGCTTTTAATAGAGCAAGTATGGAAGGTATGTTTCATTTTGTATAACTTATTCTATTCTATTCTCTAATGGTACAGGAGATCACACTTGCTTACGTCTTGTAGGCATACATGTGTACATCTGTCCGTAGTAACTGATTGGAAAGACATGATGTACATGATCATTATATGTACTCTTACATAAGGCTGTAAAAACATGTCTATGTTTTGACTGCTAAAAACATCAAGTTAATAAAAACAAAGACTATAAAGTTTATCAAACTGCAATAGTGGTGCACATATTCAAATTTTACCAGGTAACAAACATTTAATTTTGCACATGTTAAAACATAATGCATCACGATTGCTTTAATTAAAACTTCTAAAACAATATTAAAAATAAAAATATAATAATTGAATTAAACTAACAAGTATCACTGATTTTCATGGAACAAAATATGTTCTTTTTTTAAATTTAATCCATACCCTGCAATTTGGTCCTGTTTCAAAACATTTGTATAACACTTATCGAACTAATGAGGCACACAGTGTTTTGAAATAATTACATGCAACTAAAGACACTAAAAAATACTGGTGTATGCAACTGTGCTATTTTCTCTGTGATATGTGATATTGCACCTTAAAAAAATATTCCAAGAAAAATTACATTACACACATACAAAATCCATGGATGAATTTCAAAACCAAAACATGTCCAAGCAACACAATAGTAACAGCATCACAGTGCTACAACAATGGCAGCTAATAGATCAAAGTAAAATAACGCATATTTATATTACTACACAGTTACCCCCCGTACCTTATACATATTTGTTTTGGCAAGGAATATGTTCACTACAATGAGTTATAAGTTATATTCAAAATTTTAGAGCCACCTCAAGTTGTTTCCAGGGCTAAAATATAATTTGTTTATTAAATATGGACCCCTTGATAATAATAAGTATACTTGAGAATTTAAAAAGGTGGAGCATATTTTAAATGTTTTTAAATATTTTTAATTAATTGCACACTCAGTAAGTTGAGTATGATGCAATCTACAGTAAATTCTCTTAATTCAGTCACTCAATCCATAAGAATTTTTTTGAAGTATATTTCTTAACACAAAGTCCAGCAATTAAAAATGATCTAAAAAATCACAGGAGAAAACATGTTTTTTTGTTAGCTTATAAGATAATGTTTTTATGGGCAGATTAAAACAAGTTTGAAAATGTGATGATAATTCTTACAAAATACACTACAGTGATATAGTGTTATATTTGTGATGCATTTTTTTTTTTAAATTGACTGAAATGAACAATACAAAGTAAATGTAAATCAAGATCTTAAAAAAAATAAGCAACAGTTCAATGTCACTTTATTAAAAAAAAACAATTTAATAATTTAGTACTGTTTTGTCAGTGGTGATTTTATAATTTATAACATAATAATTTATAGAAGTAAAGGCCTGGCCCATGTATACATGTACTTTATACAACACAAATTGTCTTTTAAATTTACAATATATGGACACCACTAACCAATGTAATTCAAATTGTCATTCAACCAACACTCAAAGTATTTACATAATTCACATACAAACTGAACTTGATCACCGAAAAGCAAGTCACACTGTATAAATTTGTCATTATTTGTTATCTGCTGAATACAGTGCTTTAAGAAAAAACAAAACATGCATGGAGTAACAACAGTGTTGGAAACATTGCATATGAGTAAAGAAGTAAGGTGACAAAATATTTGACTACCAAACTTGGAATCCCGATTAAGGACATGTTTTGTTTTTACAACTAGCACTATGCACGTCTCTCTATGACTACTAGTATCTGGACTACCAGTAGGACTTGACTGAACTGAGTAGATTGTAAACAGCTATTCTGCCAAATTACATCATACATGGTGTGTTCTACTAGTAGTACCTAAAGTGGGAGACCAAGCATGGGTAAGTAAACAGCTATTCTACCACCTTTCACCAGACGATACCTCATATATGCCACCAGCTGTCACCTCTCAAAACACCTCCTTCCCACCTGTGCAGACAGTCTGTAATGATATGACCTGAATAAGCAGTAAGAAGTATAAACTGTAATTGACATGATATTAAATTTAATCTTTGTCGTTTATTCAGTTGCTGACTTCTGAGATTTGCCACTCCAGATCCTAGTGAATATTCCATATGTACTACTGTACTTATTGTACCATAGAACTTCCAGCTTTTCAAGACCACCAAAATAGTAATCAACAAAAAAGTAAAATACTGACACAATTACAAAATAAAACTGTAGGTATATGTATGTATACATTAGAACCACGACTATTGTATTGTAAACTATATAGAATGCAAGTGCAGCAATGAATGATACTTGAATTCTCGTAGATATACCAGTTTCAACATTTTCAACATTAACAAAACGCTTGTTTTTATAAAATTCCTTTAAGACTTCTTCTTTTTCACTCCACTGCTCATTGCACCATTTTTGAAGACCTTCTTCATCGATGGGCAGTGTTGCAATTGGATGTCGCTTGATGTGAAAATGAATTTCTCTCGGGAAGTCACCTTTTAAAATGTCAATCTCTCTCTGCGGTAGGTTCTGTGGGTAAGCGACAGAAACGTCATGGACAGCATCCAGCATGTTATCTGCATTATGTAAAAAATACAGAAATCATTATGGTACATTACACAAAGAAACAGCAAATGCCGGTACACCTTCAAGCTTCAGGCAAGAGAAGGTGTGGTACTACCCCGGTATAAGTAATTTTCTATACAGAAAAAGACAACATTAAATTGCACTATGTGCAACAAGAGAAATGTGGTGATTTAAGACACTATGATGTCTGGCACTTAATCAACAGAAGACGCTTAAAATACTGTTTTTAGGTCAATTTTAATGACATAACTTTTAAGGAAATAGTTGAATGCTTGTGACCTTGCCCTATGTTAACTGTTAATTGAACATAGATTTACAATTTTGGCTTAAAGTAGACATGGTTTCTAAAATATGGGCAGGGGTCATTTTTGTAACCCAATGTTTTTGTAAGTCAATGTTCAGAATTCAGCATCTTGTACGAGGGGCATTCAATAAGTAATGCCCCTGACCCACTTCCAGTTGTCTGATCCAGATGAAATTTTGCATGTGTAATGATTCACATCTCTATGGGTTATGTTGCAAAAAACAGCTCTGAACTAATTGTGGTTTCTGATTTACAGGTGTTCGAACTGAGTCAGGTGTGAAATGGAGTCAGTTGAGTGCCGCGCAGTGATCTGGTTTTTGTATTTGACTTTTGATGAAATGAAAGAAACTTATGGTGATGATGCCCCATCATATGACCTTGTAAAACGCTGGCATCATGAATTCAAACATGGCAGGTAGTCTGTGGAAACAGCTCCCAAACCTGGTCATCCCTCTTCTGCCATTGATGAGGCATCAGTCTGTCAAGTTGAGGCAGCCATTTTGGAAGGTTGACTCATTGTTCAAGATTAGTACAGGGTCTGTGGAAACTATCATTTATGACCATTTGCATATGCATAAGGTGTCTGCCAGATGGATTCCCAGGTTGCTCACACCATTCCAGAAGCAAGAACACGTCGAGTGCTTGGGGATGAATTTGTGCCAATTTGTGCTAAGAAGATGAGTCAAAGTTTTTCAAAAGACTGATTACACAGGATGAAACTCTGCTGGCAAGGTCATGCTCACAGTCTTCTGGGACCAGGACGGAGTAGTGATAACAGATTTCCTGGCAAAGAGTACCACAATTACAGGAGCCTATTATGCTTGACTTTTGATGAAATTAAGAGAAGCTATCAAAATCAACAGGTGGGGCAAGATCAGCAAAGGTATCCTCCTTCTGCAGGACAACACTCTGGACCACAACTTGCATGTCGCCAAATCAGAAGCTTCCTCCCCCATCCCCCTTACTCTCCTGACCTTGCACCCTCTGACTTTCATCTCTTCCCAGCCATGAAGTTGTTTTTGAAAAGAAAACATTTTCCAGATGATGCAGCCTTGATTTCTGAAGATACAACGTGGTTGGAGGACCAACCTGGGGTGTTCTACAAAAACGGTGTCCAGAGCTGCATCAAACGATGGGAGAAATGCATAACTCTGGGTGCTTCCTATGTAGAGAAAGACTAATAACTGTGCCAACTTTCATAGGCATTACCTTTTGAACGCTCCTCGTAATTATGTTCTAACAGCTGAGACAAATTCCTACAAATTTTGATTTTCAAAATTTATATATTTCAACAAAGAAATGTTTTGTCGAATAAACTGCATGTTAAATACAGAATACATATTTTTGAGAACAATTTTCCTTTCAAAATGTGAATGCAATGTTACAGGTATGTATTTTTTCATTATTTTGGTTTTGATAACAGACATAATTTTCTATTGGCTTCCCAACGAGTTATTCATAGGAGTGCTTATATCAATTATCTCATATCTCTTTTCTATTGAAGTTTATGTATTTTATTGGTATGTTCGCAAATGTGTAATTAGTCAAGTAGAAACAGTCCAAAATTTGTAATCAGATTTTGATTATAACTTTTTCAAATTTTGCATGATATTTTCACACAGGACATCTGTCGTTTGAACTAATGGAAGATTTTATACAGATGAATTAGGTGACCAATTTTGATACAGTTTGGAATAAAATCAGTAAGGTTAGTGTGGACACATTACCGTTGACAATTATTAACAACAACAACAATGAAAACAACGATGACGACAGACATTTTTCCCTTAATATACCTTTCCCTTTCATCTTTGATGTAATGGGCAAGATAAAAATAGCAGTATCATTACCCTGTTGTAAAACAAAAAACTTACTTTTTCTCAAACTTTCCACAAGGAATGTAAAGCCGGTTGTTCTAGGATGTAAAACATAGTCATAGACAGGCAACCCATTCTTTTTGGCATACACAGCATTTCTCTCTCTGTTTCGTTCACTGAGATCCGTGCCTAAGGTGAACAAAAATGCACTCAATCAAGGAATGAGACAGTATGGATGGGTAAAATTTGAATGCAATTGGTACAACCAAGTATAAGATATGACAAAGGATATTCATTTTTGAAAAAAAGTCCACGTCCATTTTTTAGTGACTGTCAACATTAGTGCCAAATAATTATTTACACTCATGTGACAGACATGACACATAGTGGAGCCAGTTTATTTGTGCGATTCCTTCCTTTATTCGGCACCATGACATTCAAAATCCTTTCTAGCACAAAAATGATAATCAGCCATTTTGAAGATGTGCAAATGTGTTACATGATGTATTTGTAAAGTTTGAATAAGATCAGTCCAGCCATGTTAGCAATATGGCTCGAAAAACAGTCTTCGTTAAAAACAAGATGGCCATCAGTCAGCCATTTTGAATCAGATAATGAAAAAAATGATAAGTATCAAGAAGCTATTAATGGACATTCCAAGTTTGAATGAAATATGCCCATGCACAACCCGAGATCCAGTTACGAAATGGCCGAAATGCATGATTTTAATGAATTTTAGCTCTAAAATGGCCACCATTTGGCCATCTTGAATTGGATCATGAAAAAATGCATGTACTTATGTGTGATAAGATGTGTGTGTCCATTTTAAATGAAATCGGTCCAGTCATGTCTGAGATACAGGTGCAGGCGGAAGGAAACACAAATAAACAGAGGTGAAATTATAAGTTCCCATTTTCCCCATTGTCAGAACGGGGAAAAAAGATAACAGATAATGTTCGTCAGGGTCTTATGATAGTATGTGTATGTACTATGCATGCTTATATCTTCTTCAAGAATGATAAAAATAATCAATTTTGGTGCATTTCTAAAAATACTGAAAGTTGATGCATGTAATTACATATGTGTTAATGTAAGGCATATAAAAGGTACGGGTAATAGCTCAGTAGTGATGCACACATATACTTCCTAAAACAACATAGCTTGTATTGCTCAACCTAGTTACAGAGCCAAAAGTATTACTGGCCTAAAGTTTTTTTTAACAACCGGTACAGTAAAAAAAATTAATCAAATGCTGTAATACGTTTAAAAAAGTAAGAACAGGTTAAGGGACTGTTATAGGTCACTACGCCATCAGTTGCTACTGTAGAGAAATGCCCCTATAGAGTCCCCAGGTCTTGCATTCACCCAGCAATATTGAAACACTGGTGTACATGTGGATTGAGTATTTGATCACAACATGTACTATAATTACCGAATGACACATTTTTTTTATTAACACTATGCAACATAAAATGGTCTGTTTTAAACAGAAAATTACATTTTTATCTAGTGATTTCCAAATGATTAACAAAATTACATCCATTCCCGAGGCCATTCATCTTCACCGGCCAAGTGTTGTTTATTCGGTCATCGACATGCCAGACAAGGTTCATTAATTTGGTCATTGCCTCACCACTATACCTTGGCAGACTATAAACCTTTATTTACAGTTGATGAAATCAAACACAATAGCATTTCCACTTTAAAGTCAGCACAAACAATAACCTTTTTGTATTTTGGTGTAGACCCTGTGAAAAATACTTTGTAGTAATCTAACTAGATTTGCACAGTTCAACAAACTTTGATGGACACACAGGAGTTTTCATGTAAGAACATGTTACATCAGCCATGTATCATACATAGGGCAAACTATTGAACCTGCCATATAATAGACCCTCTGTCATTGAAAATGACATAGTCCCTGTTGGTATTATGTGTGCAAGGAAACAATTGCATACAATTGCAATTGAGTCAAAGCATAAGGTAGAATTTATTGTGTATTTGTGTTATTGGTTGAGGCATGTCAGAGATATGACCCTGGGAAGAAAATTATATGCACCAGTGTTTTATGTTACCGTTACATACCTTCAGGAAACATCAGTATTTGTGTGGGATGTCTGAGTGCAGAGAAATAGTCCACAACGTCTGACAGAATTGCTTTATCCAATTCCCACCTACGATGGACAAATATGAAAGCAGCGACTTGCATGGCCCATCCTGAATAAAGATAAACTTTAACATTTGATTTTCTCACCTGAACCAACTTACTCCAAATATATTTGAAATTGGGAATAATGATATATAAGTTAACCTCTACCAATACTAGAAGGGAAGGCAATGGTGAACAGGCGTGTCTATTACAGTTGATTTTCACATTGCTGTTAAAAACAACAATGCATGTGCATCCTTCACAAACAAGCTCTTTATGTTTTGATGAAGTTAAATCATGTTTTGATGAACAGTCCAGGATATATTGAAGATAAGCCGATTAAGTATACAAATAAGATTACCGGTATTCAAATTTACTTCAGTGACAAAAACAAAACAGTGGTTCTTGAGCTACAACTGATTCAAACAGGGTTGAAATGCTTTTCAATTAAACAAATTAGCATTATTGTGCATATATTTTCATTATAAATTGTTTTTACAAACCACCATATTATGCAAATGAGATAATTAATATGTACAAACCTAAAACTAATCAGGCCTCTGGTGCACCTGTGTAACAATTATGTTTGACTGGAGTTTGATCACTGAAATTTGTGGAACAGACCCACTAGAACTGTTTAACATTTTTGTTACACATAGAACAAATATTGCTTTCAGGGACTTACCTCCACCCGGCGCATGTTTCAGCTCATTTTTTAGCATGATTTTCTCATAATGAAGTTGACTTCTTCGTATAAGACAAGACCAGAAAAACAACCAATCAAGTCTAGTCCTGTGATTCATTATGATCACACTCTTATCACCATGTTTGAACGCATCTCCACTCACAACAATCTTGATACCATACACTTTTTCTAAAATATACAATAATTTTTCAGCGATTATTTCAAACATCACTTTTAGTTTGTTAATAACAGTTGATACACCATTGTCACAGCCAGGGATTTTCTAAAGTTTTATTTTACTGCAAAAATGTGGTATATGGTATGTGGTATATAACCATTGCACGTCTGACCATTCAATAATGCACAAAAACTCTGCAGATGCCTGCTTCATGTCAGTAGTAATAATGACTAAGCCAAGCAATTCTTCTATAATTGTCAGTATGACTAGTGAGGCATTTACACATATAACTTGTTTTTATCAGCTTTTTATATATCCAGCATTTATTGCAGATCATGAATTCCAAGGAAAAAAAGGAGCATGAGTGTAGCTAACCAAAATTGAGTTCAACATGTAAATTCCATTAATGTATTATAAAGAGTTGTAATATATCTACTATAAACTTACCAAGGAAAGCCTGTAAGAGCCAGGGGACACAAGACATGGAAAAAAACGAAAGTGAGATCAGGATAAATCATTTAATTAATGCAATATGAATTGTGAAATTGGTTGAATTTTATAATAAATAAGAAAGCTAGAAATACATTTTTGCAGCTTAGAACTCATTTGATAAGGCTTTTCACTTGCACATAACAGACAAAAGTACTATGTAAAACCTAATAATCGCTAATGAAATAATAGTTGGTGTTGTCTACATATGCGCAAGATTTGTTTTGCAGAATATTGATTTTCCTACAATCCAAGTGCTCTCCCAGTAGCAAGTATGAACGTAAGTTTAGATTGCACATGATATGCATTAAATACCGACATAGACTTTATTTTTGTCAATATATCGTTGAAAACATAATAGGCCATATGTGTGTTTTGATGTTGATAATTTCTATATACATTGTATTTATTGATCTACTGGTATGTGATTTGTTTCAATTTAATGAATATTTATTGATCTACTGGTATGTGATTTGTTCCAATTTAATGAATATTATTGATCTACTGGTATGTGATTATAGATGTTATACATAATTATTCCGCTCCAGTTTGAATAGAAAAACATTCTATCTTTCCTTTCTGGCTGATATTCCATTATTAATTTAGTGTACGCAATCACTGATTGGTTGATCTCCGTCTGCGTGGAAAACGACTAAATGTTCCATTTCCCCTTTTAAAGTTTAACGATAGTTCCGTTCAAGTTTTGTCCATGCTCAACTGTGTGGGTCAGTTATTCATCGTTTATGTTTTATGACAAGTCTCTGTAACTACCAGAAGTTTATACTTGTAAATTAGTTTGAATTGAATTGATGAGCAATTCAGTTTACGTTGAATAAGTAATTTGTGAGTTTTCAAGTTTAAATTGTTCTGTTGAAGTACTATCTCATGTTGGAACGTGGCTGACCAAACCCAACTACAAAATTATCCCACCTACTCAATCTTTGATAATGTCTATTTTTGCACAAAACTAAAAGTCTCTATCTTTGTATGTATGGGACTCATATCTCACTCATGCATGGCATAATGACCACTGCCATTTAAACTGATCTTTATTTTGCAGGTCTGATCATGACAAGATATAAAATTATCTCTATCACTACTGATTTTGAAATATTTAATAATTTGTTCAGCTTGAATATAGTACATGTAGTCTATATTGCCTGTACATTTATCACCAAAAGTTATTAGACTTATATTTGGTTACATCAGTATTGAACATAAGTTTGAGAAATATAC